ATCCCATTCCACCCCCTGCCATGGGCAGGGACACCTCCCACTGTCCCAGCCTGGCCTTGGGCACTTCCACAGCTTCTCTGGGAATTCTGTGCCGGGGCCTCCCCACCCTCAGAGGGGAGAACATGGCAGCTCCGGCTGAGGTGAACAAAACACGTCGGTGGCTTCAGAGAGGACCAGGACCAACATTTTGCACCCAGCTCTCAGTGGAAATGCTCCAGGCCAGGTTGGATGGGGCTCGGAGCAATCCGGGATCGTGTGGAAGATGTCCCTGCTTGTGGCAGCAGGGCTGGACTGAAAGGCCTTTCAAGGTCCCTTCCAACCCAAAATATCCCATGATTTAATGATTCATCACTGAGCAAACGAGGGTTATCCAGCTCCTGACCAACTCCTACGCACACCATGGAAGAGGCATCCCGTGATTTCAGGGATTAACGGGATCCAGAGGCCTCAAACACTTCTCCCTTCAGGTCAGACATGACTCACATCTGTGGGATGGTTTGCGAAGCGTGACTTTGCTTTTGTGCAGATCTGAAGAGGATGAAAATAATTCCACCTGCCAGGGGCACTGATTGGAAATGTCCACACGCAACTTCCCTGCCCTGGGATGCGCTGAACGTGCAAGTGAAAGTTGAGTTTTTAAAATAAATTGAAGCCCTGACGCTGTGCCTAAAGCAATTGCTTTTGTGCAGCTCGGAACTCCTCGGTGGAGAACTCACACATCTGCAGCTGACTTTCACTGGAGCCTTCTGAAAGCTTCCACAAAAGGCAGCAGCTGCACTAAATGTTCCCCCCAGAGGAAAAACTACCTGAAGAAATACTGGAAGCAACAGGGAGAGTCAGACTCCCACCGAGAGATAATTTTGCCTCTCATTTTAAGCTAGAAAAAGGGATTTGGCACAAATTCTGCTGGTGGGTTTTACCCTCTTGATGTGAAACACATAAACAAGAGCTGAAAACATCTCCGTTGTAACACCATGCTGCTGCTGCAAAAATAATTAAATATGAGGCTCAGAACCATTAAAATTGCTTTAAAATTATCCTTGAATGGGAAAAATCCCAATGGATCAGCCATGCCTGCTCCTTAATGGATGCTGCAGGCTGGGAGCCAGCCTGGAAAGACAATTAATTTGTTTACAATAATAAATAATAACATCCAGCCTCCATCAAAGCATGGAACCATCAGCACTGGTGAGCCATTGAAAGCTGCTGGCTGGGACCATCCTTCTCCTTAATAACTACTTGTTTGATGGGAAGAAAACATTCCAGAAGCTCTCCGGGATGTCTCCTTGGAAGTGAATGACTCCATGCATGGAGTGGGTGCTGAGGTAATTAGCTCCAGCAATTCCTGCAATATCCTGCAAAAACAGCTGCACACCCTGACTCTTCAAGGAGGTTTTTTTTTGGGATTTTCAGATGCTGGAATTTGGCCTGAAAAGTATCAGGTGCATCATCCACGTCATGCTGAGATAAAAAATAAAAGGAAAGGAAAGAAGCTTTGAAGGAAAGGAAAAAAAATCCCACCCTGCTGCTCCAGATCGGAGCAATTTGCATTTTTTTGGAGATGGAGCAACAGGTTTTTAAGGCCAGTGACCACCTGGGTGGAAAGATTTATCACCTCGTTGAGAACCCAACAAGAACAGGCTGTGAGAAGCTGTCGAGGCACTTGTAGCCTAATTTAGGATCGATTTAAACAATTACAGCCTGAAATTTAATGCTGAATAAATTTGAGACAAATGAGTTTCACGGTGAATCAGTCGCTCTGCAAAGGAAAAAGGGCTTCAAGTGTTTTTACATTTGAGGAGGGAAGAATGGAAAACAAGGCGCAAAATGGAATATTTAGAGAGGACGATTTTTTTAAAGGATAATCTTTAGAGGAATGGGTGATTCATCTGTGAGGACACAAGGCTGGAAAACCTCTTATCTCCCACCTAATTCAGGTGAAACACCGCTGATAGTGATTCCAAAGATAAATTCCCGTGCTCCAATCACAGCCGCAGAGGCTGCAGAGAGATCTTTGGGATAGCCAAGAGTGGGATGGATAAACCAGGAACCCTGGAGCGGGGAAAAGCTGGGGGAGAGCTTGGTTCACCACATTTCCATCTTATCCATGAGGTGATGGGGGCAGAGACTCCAGGCTCCAGCACTGTCATGCAGAAATAGCGAGGTTTTTTTTCCCCCCCCTTTAACGGAAAATCAATAGGATTATTTTAGGGAGCTATTTGGATGAGCTGGTTCAAAGAGGCAGCAATTTTTCTTCTCTTTTCAGAGAATTACCCTTCTCTAATGTCGGGAACAAGGAGACCTCCTGACCACGGACAGTTTGACCAAGAGTAATTCCAGTTCAAAATGATTTCCATCCATCATGAGAAACAAATTGAAGGAACTGGACGAGAAAAATTCCAAGCCACTCTGAGTTTTCAACCCCTAATGACCTTTAAGGAAATATACTGATATTATAGAATCCATTTTCATGTGAAATGAAGCCACAAAAAATACTTTATCCTTATTAAGGCTGGTAAAGCTTGGGAAGGAAACAATCCAGGGATTCTGTGCAGCTCCAAAACAGAATTTCAATTCCTGCTAAGAGAATTTTGACCCCTTTCTAAAGAAACTGTTCCCCTCTAGGGACTTCTGGAAATGTTGTTCTGGAATTTGATTTTCCTTTGGCTCTGAAAGGACCATCCCAGCCCTGCTGCATGGGTTAGTGACCACAAATCCATCCAAAATTCTGGAAATGGTAACAATAATAATAGTTATTCCTATTACTGCGTGGCATTATAATATCCCTGTGTTTTACAGCTGTACACTGGGATGGAAAATGGCCACATAAACCTTGGGATAAAGGTGCTGCTTCCTAAGGACTCTGCCAGTGTCATCCATCCCTGACAAGACGATGGATAAGAGGGTTTCCCAGGAAAGAGGGAATAACTTCAAAGGATTAAGAGAGCTTGACATGACCAACAGCAATAGTCAGTTCATTCCCTGCAGTCCCAGGCAGCACATGAAAATCAGAATTTTGAGGTGGGATTCCACACTGTCCTGTTCCCCATGGAGCTGGGATGACAATTTTCTGCTTTTATCACTGCTCCGCACTGGAGTTCAAAAAAAGGTGTTTCAAAGCAGACTTCTCCTACAAACACTCCATCTCCAGCCCAAATCCCTCACATCTCTTTCTGATGGAGGGAGCTGTGGGGCTCCACATCAATCACCAACATGCTTGGGAGGATCAGATCCCAGTCCTGCTCCTCCTGGGAGCTTGGAATGTGTATCTGTCCTGACCGCAGAGCTCTGTGACTGGCAGGTGTCCCCAGAACTACTGAGAGAGAACCACATGAAAATATTCCTTCCCCAGATAAACTTTTTTTGAGATAAACTTTTGTGCTCTAGATCGGGCTTCACTGCAAGGAAAAGCTTCCTTAGAAAGATTTCATGGAATTATGGAATGGTTTGGGTGGGAAGGGACCTTCAGGACCATCCAGTCCAACCCCCCTGCCATGGGCAGAGACACTTTCCACCAGGAATATCCTAGCCTTGGACATTCCAGAGATCCAGGAGCAGCCACAGCTGCTCTGGGAATTCCAGCCCAGCCAGGAATTCCTTCCCCAGATCCCATCCATCCCTGCCCTCTGGCAGTGGAAGCCATTCCCTGTGTCCTGTCCCTCCAGGCCTTGTCCCCAGTCCCTCTCCAGCTCTCCTGGAGCCCCTTTGGGCCCTGGAATGTGCTGGAAGCTCTCCCTGGAGCCTTCTCCTCTCCAGGTGAACATTCCCAGTTCTCCCAGCCCTGGGAGCAGCTCTGTGGCCTCCTCTGGACCTGCTCCAGCAGCTCCACGTTTTCCCTTATGGGATCCACAACCAGGTCATGGCTGGACAGGGACAACCAGGGATGTCCTGAGCGGTCACTCAGCTCCTACCTGCAGCAGAGGCCTCTGCACTCCCAGGACCTTCATGGTGTCGGCATTGGCCAAGATTTTCAGGGGATCTGACGCCTTGGTGACGCCTTCGATCTCTTTGTTGATCTCGGCCAGGACCTGGTTGAGGAAGATGTTCTTGATGTACATGGTGAGGAACTCCCGCAGCGGGCACTGCTTGCCCGGGCCCAGCTCCATGGCAAACTCGATCTCCTGGATAAACCTGGAAAACAGGAAGGGGAAGAATGAAATTAAATGCAATTAAATCATGCGGACACTTCAGATTTGTTGGTGTTGGCCTTTGATATTCTGGCGTTTCAGAGCTGAGCACCAGCAGTGTGGGAACGACCATGGACTGTCCCAGCTTGGGGAATTAAGAGGAGAAAAGGTCCACAATGTAATTTTAGGGAAAAAAAAAAGATAAAATACAAACAATTGGTGAGACAAAGACTAAATTGCTGGAGAAGGACAGATAAAATGAGAGAAAATCCACATCCCAGGCACAATTCCTGTCTGTCCAAAAAAATTTGGCTTTTCCATTTGGGACACGTTGGGAAGATGTCCTTATAAAAATAAAATCACCATTAAAAAAGCTAGGATGCCACAAGTCTCTTTTAAAAGCCAAGCTTCCTTCTGGGCACGGTCACTTGAGTCCCACAGGTGGGTTCCAAACAGAATAACAGAATATTCCAGCTCAAAATCCAGAAAAAAACATGAAAAAAACACAATGTCTATGCAAGATGCCATTATCCTCCTGCATTATGGATGTCTGTTACGGAGTATTTTTATCACCCTTTATTGTTCCATCCCAGGATCCCATTCCTGAGCACACAAAGCAGCAGGATGATTCTGGGAATATTTTAGCACCAAATGTTTGCCATCTCCTGTAAAATCTCTTTATTTCTGTGCTGCCATCTGGTTACCACGGAGGAGTTTATTCCAGAAATTACCTCGTCATGTCTTTAACTACATCTGAGGCAGTAGAATTGGTATTCCTTTCAAAACAATTAGGGATTGAGTACCTGGAGCCATAGTGGATTGTTGTGAGTTGTGCTGAGGGAAATTTAGGATGGATATCAGGAAAAATTTATGCAGTGAGAAGTGGTCAGGACATGGAGCAGGAAGCGTGGAGTCACCATCCCTGGCAAGAAACAGGGGTGTGGCACTTAGGACATGGCTTGGTGGTGAGCAACGGTTGGGTTTGGTGATCTTAGAGGTCTTTTCCAACCTCAAGGACTCCATGATTTTATTCCTTACCACTGACCCTATTCCCAAACCTTTCAATGAGATCTCCTTAATTATCCATAATTTTCCACCTCCACATTCCTCATTCCAGAGGAGGTGCTTCCCTTCCCAGCACTGACTGAGGAGCCAATTCCCATGGACGATTTCTTTCCAATCCGAGCTTTTTTCTCACCAAATCCTCCCCCTGTTGACTCCATGGGTCTGGAGTGACACATTTGGACAATGCAGCTTCCGAGGGGGGATACCTTTGGAATTTAGTTGGGAGATTGGTTCTCCAAAGAGAGAGAATGAAAGAAAGAAATTCCATGGAGGGAATGACAGCAGCTTTATTCCCTGGATTTTGCAGGGTGAGAATGGGAATCAGCTTTGTAAAACAGGGAAAGAGCAGAGTTTTCTGGGAAGAGAGCAGAGACTCCATGGAGCTGATCCTGGAAATACCAGAGCTGATGTCACCGGTTCCGAGTGACACCACTCATGTCCTTGAGGGGACATTGCCAGGGTTGATGGGACTGTGTTGAGCTCATTTACTGTGTCCTTCCATGGCTGTCAGTAAATCTCTCATTCTTCCTTTGTAAGTTTATTTAATGAGCACAGAACTCCCCCAAAATGTGAAATTTACTGTTGAACACCATTCAGGTGGGAAGGAGAAGCTCAGGAGCTCAAACTGGGAATGAGCATCATCCAGCAAGGTGACAGAACAGCTTTTAAACACTTTTAAAATCCAGAAAATGCTCAAAAAAATGGCTAAACCAAGTAAAATTAGTCTTTAGAGAATGGCCATGTGCAAACCATCACAGCTCAGATGTGCTAACCTACAACAGCAATGGAACTCCTCATCCCATGACACCCTGATGGTGTTCCCAAATGTCTCCTGCACCACGGACTTAATGCCAGTGCTGGAAAATGGTGCCACCAGGAACTTTTGCTTCCCAGTGCCTGGCATTAATCACCATTCCAGATCTCTCCTAAAGATCTGTGCCTTCATCTCCAGAAAACTTCTCCTTGATGACTCATTAAGTTTTAACGTCTTGGCATGGACAAGACAAGTGTGGTTGACTAGTGCTGGTCAGGATCAGACCATATCCCTGTTTTCCTTGATAGGAACCACAGAATAATCATGGATTACGAGGGAGCTGCCAGACAGCACTGGCTGAAGGAGGATTTGTGAGTGCTTGGCATCACTTGTGATAAAGAACAAATGATCAGGAGCTTAGGAAGCAGAATTCAACTTGATAGCAGCAGGAAGTTATTAAGACTGAAGCCATGCAGGGCACGGAGAACTGGAGGATACGGACGTGAGACCTTCAGTTGGAATGCTCAAGGATAGCTTGATGGAATGACTGTGGGAATGGAAACCAGCGAAGTCTTCATTTAATCCCAAAGATCTCTGCCGAGGGAAATGGAAGCAGAGAAAAGGTAAAGAAAAATGAACAATGGGTGTCAGAGTGTGGCTTATAGCAGGGAACGGCCCAGAGTTCCTGGATTTGATAATCCAGTGGGACAAGGTACTTTTTACAGCCTCAGAGGACAACTGGGATCCCATTTGCTGGGATCTGCTGTGGTTCAGGGATGACCTCCCCAAATTTCCAGCAGGCAGAATGAGTCACACACTGCTCTGCACCCGAGGCAGCCACTCTGGAGCTCCAACCTTCAAAATCCTGCTGGGCACAAGAGCAGGGGGCTCAAGCAAGGGTCACAAAGTTCCAGGTGCAGGTGAAATTTGCACCAGGAATCTTCCTGGGACACTAAATGGCAGCACTGGTGTACCCTCCATGGGCTGGACTGGGAGTGTTACTCAGAATTCCATGAAGAACAGATTAAAAACTGAAAACATTAATATTTTCTATTTAAGAGGAGTAAGAGTTGCCCAGAGAAGCTGTGACTGCCCCTGAATCCCTGGAAGTGTCCAAGGCCAGGTTGGACAGGGCACTGGATGGGCTTTCAGGTCCCTTCCCGCCCAAACCATTCCATGATTCCATGAATTAAGGATGCAAAGTCAAACAGTGAAAAAAGATGGGAGCTGTTTGTGCCACCTCCCTTTGCCCTGCTGTGTGGGACATCACAGCCTCAGTGACACCATGATCCTTGTCCAAGGAACGGGATGGTCAGGGAATGTCACAGCGTTGGGAATTCCTGAGTCACACCAACACACAACTGTCACCTGAATAAACGTGACACCAAGAGCGACTCTGCTGCCACCAAGTGCCACAGGGCTCTCTGCTTTATCTCTCTCTCTCTATCCTGACTTCTTCCTGTCACATCCTTCCCATTTCTGGGAATTCCACCATCGGTTCTCTTATTTTCCACGGTTCCCAATCCCACTCAGACATCCTGTGTTTCTCTACAGGGAGGCCAGCAGGTTTTGGAAGCCCAAAAAACACCACGAGGGCTGGCTCAGGAACCAGCCCTTGCCTTTGGCTTGGTCTCGCTGAGCTCCAGCTGGAATTGTGTCCATTGGGAATTTCGGCTGCCATGGAGCAGAAGTGCGAGCGCTGCACTTGAGCTTTCAAGGGGTCCAAATAAACCAAATTTGGGGTTATTTTCCATACCCTTTATCCAACACTTCCTCTTGCTGAGAAATGCGGAGATAGAAATTCCCAGCCAAAGGAGAACTCACCAGAATTCAACCAGAATTTCTTCTCAGAAAAAAAACAACCAACTATCTCAGATATATTTCTCTTAAAAAATCAGCCCAGTTGGCAATAAAAGATCAGCCAAACTACAAGAAACTAAAAATGAGTGTTTGAAATGGGAAATGTTGGGAGGCATTAAAGAGCCAGCAGACATTCCCTATTTTCTGCCTGGCAGACACGGCCACACATTCACAGCCACGCGCGGTGTGCTGGCTGGCTTATTCCAACAGAATTTGTTCTTTATAAAGAACAAAGAAGTGTTTAACAGCATGGAAAAAATACATCCTAAGAGTCCTCTCCAGAAATGTTGTGCTACTCATCCAAGCCATCCACGGAACTTTTAGAGGTAAAAAAAGGCAATTTGACCCGCAGCTATTCCAGAAATATTTATCCCAGAATGGTTTGGGTTGGAAGAGACTTCAAGGATCATCTCATTGCATCCCCTGCCATGA